TTTTTTTTTTTGAGTAATAAGAATTATATAACTTTCTCAACCATCCCCGTTTGGGAGAAGCCGCTAGATTGGAAATGTTGTTTATTTTTAAGAATCTTATTAACAAACGATGTCCTACAATATTTTGAAAAGTGTTAGCACGAACTACATTTTACGCTGTATACACTGTAAATTGTTAAACAAATGATAGTTTTCAATGTAAGTCTAATACAAGCGCGTAAATTATATCACAATATTACGTTTCTTTCTAATATCAGTGAATTATAGATGTACCAGCATATAAATCGCGCACGATACACATATAAATTATAACATTGTAAATTATTAGAAGAAATGAGAGCGTTCAAATGTAAATTTAATACAAACACAGAAATTCCGCTCGCAGATCACAATATTGTACTCCCCCCCCCCAATATATACACAGTAAATTAAATCAAACAAAAAGAAAGAAAACACACACACACACCCGGGGTAAAATATTTCCATGCGAGCTGTTTTCGTTCTTCTTCGCTCTTTCTTTCGAGTCTAATGTTTCCCGTTCTATTTGACAATGTGCTCTAACACAGCACGCACTGTTGGCCGTGCAAATTATTAACGTAACGTTCAAACACGCGCTTTCTTCGGAAGCGATAAATCATCGGTATGAAAACACATTGTGTTTGCCCTGTGCACTTCGTCGTTGTGTAAATTTGCGCGGGATCCCGCTACGAGGAAACGCCGCTCGTACGTGAATTCAATGGAAATCGTGGATAAATCTGTGGGAAGAAAGGTAATTTTCATAGTCTCGGCCGCGTCTTTCAAGCTTAGGCTTCACGGTGACAAATCGCAAAACCGTGGGCATCAGCGATAACAAATGAAATCCCTTTGGATTGATCATTCGACGATGAGTTCGCAATTATTTCGGTGTGTATATGTGTGTGTGTGTTTTAATACGACATTTGTTATCGTTCCGTCAAGTCTGTTGGCAAGAATGAAATGCAGAGATTTGTGGAAATTAATTATTTATTGATTTAAAGTCTCGGCGGGACTCTGTAAATGAGAAGCAAATTAATAGCAGGAAGAATGGCCACGGGTTCTTCAAGTAAAGAACCAATTAGGAAGCAATTTAAATTTCAATGTGGAAGCGAAATATTCATTTGTTACAATGAACAACCTATAGAAATAGGATCGAGTTGGTAAGAAATTTATCGGATGAAAGAAATTTAAATAACGAAAAATTCCTAGATATAAAGAGAATTGTGAATATATATATATAAATTACATTATTGTGAATATTACAGAATTGTGAATATATATATATAAATTACAAGAAGGAAATGAAGTAGAGTAAGATATTTAAGAAAGAATGAAATGAAAAGATCTAAAAGAATTACAAAAGAAATTAGCAATTGTAATTATTTAAATGGGGGGTGGATGTACATATTGTTTTAAAAAAACTGATTAGATTATATTCTACGTTATTGAATATTTAACACAATTTAGAAATATTATAATATGTATTTTATTATATATATTAATATATAACATTTTTTATTATATTACGTATTCCAATATTATATAACGATATTTCTCCTTTTATTTTGATGAAATTTGGGAAAAAAATTTATTTAAATCTCGCGCTAAAACAATATTGTCTTCGCCACGATATTTCTAAAAGAAAACAAGGAAGCAGTAACAATTCAACCTCTCCGCGAATAAAAATCACTTTTCCCTGAATAAAATGTGCCGTTGTACGTATTTCAGAGTTGCGAAAGTATGCGCCGCGGCAGTTGCTGCATCGGAATTCCGTGGCTGAAAGATCGCGAGATGCCTCGACACAATACGCGGCCGTTGGTTTCGACAACGGGGCACGAAAACGAGACGTGTCTTACAATGCCGCGAATTTGCAGCTCTCCTTGCGGCAATTAGCCCCTATTGAACGGTGCACGACAGCTCGAGGGGACCGGTCGCCGCCTTCATCTTCGTTTCGTGTTGCTCGGCCTCCCTTTTCCTCCCCTTTCCATCTCTCTGCACCGCGAGGTGAAAATCGGGGCTCCGTTGCACCGATGTCACGGCCACGTGCACGCGATCGCCACAAGCGAATCGCACACGCCCATCGGCTGTCGGATGAATTTCAATTAAGCGGCACACACTCTCTCAATGAAACGGAGCTGCACGGCTGGTTTCGATCGCCACGCATCGCGACGAACGTGTCACGAGATATCGCGCTCTCCCCGACTCAATAGCCGCCCTTAATCCTTTTCCCATCGCGGAACCGGCTCTCTCTCTCTCTCTCTCTCTCTCTCTCTCTCTGTCGTAGCGAGAGTTGCTTTTGATGCTTGCGTGGGGAGCACTTTGACGCCTGATCCTCGGAGTAGGTGATACAATGAGAGTCAAAATGTATAAATTACGAAATGCAGGCATGTAATATGTATTTGATACTCGTGACGTTTGAACTATGTTCGACAAGAAGTATAAAAATTTGGTTATTAGTATTGAATTATAGTGAGATCGAAGGGGTTGAATATATTCCCTTAAGTACGCCAACATAGAGATAGATCTAGAGATAAGCGATTTACGAGTTTTCACAAGTTTTTTTCTAGAATTACACGTAATTTATAAAAATACACAGAGACAATATGTATCGAGATTACTGGTCATTGAATACTTTACAATATCCTACAAATTTTTAGCAAAGTTGCAGAATTTAAACGCAAGTTGATAATAAAGCCCATGGATATGTATGAGCACACGTATAAAGACAATAAATAAAGAATTGCAATCTCTGGTCAGTGACTTGGGGGATCACTCGGATCGATTCAATGCTTTTAATGAAATTGTACAATTCGTCAAAATGAATAAAAAAAAAATGGCAAAGTGAACAAGCACCGCTCGGATCTCCATAGCCTCCGAAGTCACCAATATCCTCGCGCATTCTATCGAGCACCGATGCCTTCCTATCACCCAGGTATATACAAACACAGGGCAGAAAGCTGAAAAGAAAAAAGAAAAAGAATCCTTCTCTCCTCT